TTGCGAACTACGTCCACTCTGCCAAATTCCCTCTGCATCCCCTCCCCCCTCCTACCTGCCATCTTACTGACTTTTGCCAGTTTCCGGGGTAGATAGCACATGTGAGGCCGTAGCTGCGACGTTTTCCTCAAAGCGGACAAGCGAATACGACCCCATCCTCAAATGGTCTCCCAACTTTCTGGATAGCGCGCCTTAAACAAAGAAAATCAGCCATCAACAAAAAATTTCCCGTACCAATTACGAGCTCCCGCTCTCGATTCCCAACCTACGATGTTCTGCATGTGACTAGGCTGAATCAGAGTCAAGTATGAGGTCCCACTCGTTTCCATTGATTTTCATCAAACCGTCTTCGCTCTAGGTAATGAAGCCGACATCTTCCTTATAGCTAGTTTTTATCATCTTTTGATCCATAACCTATCTTTGCAGACCCAAACTGATCGACCATTGTTGTGTTCGGTGTGCAAGGAGGGTACAATGAAGTTCTGGGATATCACCACTTCTCGACGTTTCAAGCTGGTTGAAGAAGTGAGTTTTTGTTTACGTTCTGTTTTGTTCACCTTTCTTTGACAAGTTCCTGAAAGCACCGTCATCCTTTTAATATGATATTTCAGATGCCGAAAGCCCATAGTGAATCGATTTATTCTGTTTGCTCCAATAAATACATGGTTTTCACAGCGTCCAGGTTGGTTTTGAATATGCTTTGAGAGAGAAAGTCATGCTAATGTAGCGAGAGTGCCTATTACTGTTCAGAAAGGCCCAGAAGTGTGTTCCAGCATTGGATGGTTTTTCATTTGTGACCACTAGAAATTCTGAGAAGTAGAACAGTTAATGTCTCGGCGCAAGGAAGAGGGCGTGCTTACGGACTTAGTTGTGAGCGCGGCAATGGCGAACTATCGGTACATATACGGCCACCATTGTGCTCAAAACTAAATCCTTCAAGGGAGTTAGCACGATAAATTCCTGAGACGAGTGGGATTAACACATTCGAGGCGAAGGCCATTTCGCCCAGAACTCACGTTCGTCGTTGTTTTTGGCTTATTTTTACAATTTTTTCTTCGTATTGATGTGTTAATTGTGTAAATGTATGCTAGTAGAATATAATCAGTCGCAAAAAGAACAAAAAATATGCGCGTGTTTTCGCAATACTGTACGAATGACCGAAAACAGGGGTTTCCGCGTGTACTCCCGGGAGTACACGCCGCCTCGAACGTGTTAATAAGCTTGACGGGACAGAATTCCGCTTGCGTAGCGCCTTTTCCAAGGAAACTATGTATACTTGAAATCCCTGAGATCGGGTAGGCTGCGTTTATACTTTGCGGCAG